TCTCTGGCCAGCTATGATTATATGATGATGATTATGATCAACATTCATAAATAAACTAGATACTGAAAATATTGAATTAAGTCAGTCAAGAAACCGGTTAGGTTTAATAAAATAAATATTATGGAACAGTGCAAGTGACTTAATTAAATATGTGTAGCAAATTCCATCAGGTGAAATCAGTCAACAGTATAAATAGGATACTGAAAAGCTGTTTGCATGGTCCATGTAATTTTTATTTATTTATTCTTAATCAAAATGGTCTCTGGCCACTTACACTGATCAATACAAAATTAATAAACATTAATACAAAATAAAGTATACTATTCAACAACTTTATCTAAGTATATACAATATGGCTTCAACTTTACATGCATACAGAGACGTTTTTTCATTAAATTTTTAGGCATTCTCATATTTATCTACAGGGTATACCAAACAGCTCTATAGCCTGATTGCGGCTATCGTGCGGAGCGAGAGTGCGTGCAACTCTGCCGTCTCCTTCTGCAAGCAAGTTATGCTCGCGAAGGAGACGGCGAAGCGGGACCGGGAGAGGTTTAGAACTCTCCCGGCCCGCCAGGCCCGGGAACGTGCCAGGTACCTCAGGCGCCGGAGGTCGCAGAACGACCTCCGTCCTCCATAAGCGTAGGCCTGGGGGTGACAGGTAAGGCCATCTGTCACCACAGCAGAAGCAGGCCGGGGTGGCGGCGAGCGCGTTGCGGAGCGCGCTCGCTTCCAGGGAGCAGAGGGAACATGGGGTTCCCATACGGGGGGGGTCGTCTACTCGTTTGTAGATGGCCCGAGATATGTCGGGGCACCAGGGACATCCTTTCTAGGGTATACCTGGTTCCCCGGCTATTAGTACCCGAGACGGCGTGCGGTTTTAGTCGGTGCGAGTCTGACATGCCACCGATAGGTGGTATCCGAGGGGAAAAAAAAGGGTATACCAAACAAAGAGTAGAGTTATAATAGTTGCAGTAACTTACATGAACCGGATAATTCGTTAAAAGTTTCGGGGTCACTTAGAGGGTAAGGTCAAATTGGCCTCGAAAAAGCTTAGTGTCCTGAACAGATCGAGGCAGTATTTCACTCCGGCCCACCGCCTTCAGCTCTATAAGGCGCAAGTCCGGCCGCATATTTAATACTGTTCTCATCTCTATGCAGGGGCACCTCAGTACCAGCTTCTCCCTCTGGACCGCATCCAAGGAAGAGCGACTCGAATCGTTGATAGCCCAAACATCTCCGATCGGCTCGATCCCTTGGCGTTACATAGAGATGTGGCTTCACTCTGCATTCGCATGTATCATGGAGAGTGCTCCAAAAAATTGTTCGGGCTAATACCAGCCGCAAATTTCCGCCATCGTTCCACACGGCAAAGTTTTCATCCTCATTACCTGGATAGTTGGCGCTCCACTACTGTGCGCTTTTCGAGACACTTTTTGCCCCGCACAACCAATCTGTGGAACGGGTTATCGTCTGCGGTATTTCCGGACTTTCCTAAAAGGCCGGCAACGCGTTTGTGACTCCTGAATTACAGACATTAATGGGCGGCGATAGTGACTTTCCATCAGGTGACCAGTCTGCTCGTCTGCCCCCTCTAATATTAAAAAAAATGACAGAGTAAAAGTGTTAGCTGAGCTGATATTTGTACCTTAGAAGTAATATTTGTACCTTGATACAACTCGTTAAATTAAAAACAGTTGATATTAAACAGACATTAATTTACACAAGTTTTCCTTAATAGTGTTTGTTATACGTTTTAATATCTGAGTTGTCTGCTGCATTCATTAAGATACATCACTTTAAAAATTATGAAACTTAAGTGCGATTGCCCGCAATTTGTTCACTTACCTCTCGTTCTCGGTCCTCTTACACGACGGTACGCTCCTCTAAATAGTCTGTCAGGCGGCTAGGCCTCAGGTACTTTGGTACCCCCTGATAGTAGAGTGCTTCCCTGATGCAGCTGAATGGCAGAATATTGAATGCGTTGGCGATGTCCAATGACACCGCTAACAGCACGCCACAACAGCTCACCGCCTCTTCGGTCACGGCCCTCAGGCGCAGCACAGCGCCGACCGTCGAACGCCCCGCTCGAAAACCGAATTGGGCGTCCGACAGATCGGGGCCCACCTCGTAGAGGTGGCGGACGATGCGGGCAGAGAGTACCCTCTCCAACAATTTACCCGCCTCGTCCAGCATCACGATGGGCCTGTAGGCCGCGACGGAATCGGCAGGCCGTCCCGGCTTCCTTAACAGGACCAGCTTCCCGCTAGTAGATTTGTACCTAGATCAACGACCTGTGACATGTCTAAAGTTTCTGAAACTGTGACAAAAGAAGTATTACAATTTCAATTTATTTCATTCTATTCAAAGTGACTTTATAGCTCAAACAGGAGATCCATCAGATGAAGGCTCAGGAGGGCCATCTTTATTTGGGTTGCTGGAGAGTAACGAAAAGCGATTATTCTTTGGTAAGAAAAGACCCAAAATTCGTCATAATGACGTGGGTTTACTTTCAATGGTCGGTTACCGGAGACATGATGATTGGCTCACAGTTCTTCTTTACTTTGCCTCCAGATTTAGACTCCTTGGATGACGCGCATTGTATTATTGGTGAAGTTTTACGTAAACTAAATGGTTTTCCGTCCTTACCGCGATGTAAGAATAACACACACTTTAGTGTGTGTCCTTACCGCGATGTAAGAATAACACACACTTTAGTGTGTGTTATTCTATACTAGAAGATCCATTCAATAATGTGCTAAACCTCCTTTCTAAGGAGAGGCCTATGTCCAGCAGTGGACTGTTAAAGGCTGTTGATGATGATGATGATGAAGGAAGCCACCTGAGGGATCCAGCCTTATAGTAGGAGGCACTCGCATCGGCATAGAGCCCTCGATGAGGTATCTGAGGCTCGTACTTGATAGCCGATGGCCAAGTTGGTTTGAGCAGCGCATGCACCGGTGTGGCTGCTTCCCAACATGAGGGGCGTGATATACGATCGCCTCCCTGATGCAACTTCAGGGCAAAGTGTTGACGCATTGGCGATGTCCAAGGACACCGCCAACATCACTTCGCCCCGGGAAACCGCTTTCTCCGCCCTTTAGAACAAGACCTATACTAAGAGATATGGAGTAGTCATTACTGTTTTGAAATATTTCCATAATTTTATTATTGAGTATTTTTTAATCATTAATTATTCGTAAGAAATTAAATAATTGTATTGTATCTTATTATAATTTTATTATATATATAAATGATGTACTAAAGAAAAAAATAGCATTTCTATTTTTAAAAAGATTTAAGGTTGCCTATATTTTCATATATAGTAATGAACGCTGCCAGAAACAACCATCGAAATTTGGTCATAAGGTTACGTTTGATTATGAAAATTATAAGTAAATAATAATACTTAAAAAAAACTAAAAAACACGCCTTTTATAGAAAAACAAACTACAAAAAAAGAAAACAAATGTTAATGATTTTGAAAAAAAAAGCGTGGGGTGCTTTTTACTATTGACAAATTGCACCCAACGCTTTTTTTTTCTAATTTATTAAAAATTATTTTCTATAAAAAGAGTGTTTTTTAGTTTCTTCAACTGATTTTTTAATATTATTTATTTTCATTTTATATTCTAAATTAGTGTATTGTCATCGGTCCTCGATATATCTACAAAGTTTGAACGAATTCTGACCTATTAAAGTCGGTCAAAATCACGCCCAAAGGAGTCGGTTACAAACAAACATAAGGTGAAGTTAATAAAAAGCGTGTAAAAATACATGTCTTCACTACGCGTCAACATAAAAAACTGCTGAAACCAAAGACCATTCTGAACTAACATTGTTCAAAGGCACATAAAAGACTTGTAAATTTTATAGTGTTGTTTTTATTTTAAATCATAGAAAAAAAAAAAATTTTTTCAAGTAAGTATTAAAAAAAGGTTAAATGTGGGTCAGTCTCTTTCCTGAGTACGAGTTAAGACTCGCTCTTAACCGATTTTTGTTATTAGTTGTTATAGCGGCAATAGAAATATTCAATCTATGAAAATTTCAGCTCTCTACCTATGAGGGTTACCTAAATACGTCCGAACACTAGAGTCTTATTAATAGGGTGCCGTTGGCACCATGGAAATTGCAAAAAGTTTCATTATTAAGAAAAATATTTACATAAATGTCGGCTCCACAAGCTTCCTTTAACCTTAACGCATAGAATACGTAACAAGTAGACATGGAAATTATTGCTACTTTTAAATCATATTTATTTGGTGAAATGATTGGTTGTAAGTCACAGTGATTTCACATGTGAATGTGATTTCGTCATAGACAAAGATCAAAGATTACGACCATTTCTTTGTTTTAGATTTAGATCTTTCGCGAGTGTAGCGCTAGCTTAAAAATAATCATTAAGTAGTAGTGGTTTTGGAAATCAGTTACAGGTGTGAAGATATGATTTTGATTGATTGTGATTTGTGATGTTATTTCATCCCTAGTACCAAGTGGGTACGTACTGCGACGGCCGCGACAACGACGTTAAACAATCTGTACATTGATGTTTTTTGAACAATTATAATACGAGAACTTCAAACTATATTTTCTAGATAACATTATAAAAACATATATGTATAAGTATACTCGTACATTCGAGTGACAGAATTTGGCGTTGTTTTTGTATTAGAGTCAAAATGTGCATCTACTGTTTTATGTTTATTTCATCGAAGTTGCACAGTATATAATGTATTGTTGCTTTTATTTTAACTAAAAATTAAAACGTATAAGGTAACTTTAAATAGGTATTCAGCATGTTCATGGCAACATTGTTACTCAAGTCATTTCATTATCAATATTTATTTATCACTGTCAGCAGTGTCAGCCTAAAATAAAGAAGTACCAGTAGTATTCTTTATCTTAGCTAACAGCCCTATCAGGCTATCACCGAGGGTGATTAAAATTACCACATTGAGTTTTGATTTGTGACATTAACAAGAAAGCGTCCATTGGTTAAAATGAGTGCAACTACAGCAGAGGAAACATCAACAACACCAAAAGAAATGACGTTTGCAGAAAAGCAAGCAGAACGTATGAAGAGATTACGCTCTTTACATTCCGCCAGGAATGAAGCCAGGACACACAATCATCAGGAGGTAGTGGCTGAAGAGGCTAGAAATAAATTACCACCGAACTATGACGCAAAACGTCGTCAGGCGGAATGGTTACTCGACGATCAAGCAAAGCGTGAAGAAGCTGAAAAATCAGGCAAAAATTACGACAGAGTAAAACTTTTGAACATCTCAGCGACGGAAGCAGAACGTTTGGAGCGTAAAAAGAAGAAAAGGAATCCAGATGAGGGTTTTTCGACATACGATCAAGCGACAATAAGACAGTACAATAGATTGGTCAAGAATATGCCTGCACCGGACATGGAGCAGTATGACAAACAAAAACAAAAATATGGAGATGCTTTCTATGGAGGTCCAAATGTGATCATTCACGGTATGCATGAAGATCGTAAACAGGCTATCGACAGAATGGTGGACGACTTGGAAGGACAGATTGCGAAGAGAGCTAAATACTCCAGAAGGCGGATACACAACGACGACGCAGATATTGACTATATTAACGAGAGGAATGCCAAGTTTAACAAAAAACTTGAGCGGTTTTATGGCCAACACACTGCCGAGATTAAGCAGAATTTGGAACGTGGTACAGCCATATGAGGATATGTTAAGAAAATATGGTGTTGCATACATGTTATTGTTTGTAGTGTTATTTAAAATTCACAATGGTGGAGTAATACTGTAGAAGTTAATGTATAACTGGACTTCTATTAACCCTTTTGGAGCTATTGTGATAATAGTGAGAACATGTGAGAAGATAAAATTGTTTTTCGTTTAATGTAAATAATTTGTGCAAATGTTGTATTACAGTTTACAAGAAAAGAGTACTAAAAGACTCATTTATGGATGCCTTGGTAAGCTATACTTAAATTTAGCAAATAGTTTAGTCATAGAATCTAAAATAGAGAATATCTGTATGAGGATAATAATGTTAGCCACACCAGGCCCACTTGTGTTGATTAGCCAGTCTTGAACATGGGTAAATGCTACCTATATTATACCATTTACAACAAACAAATTGTAGGGTTCAGGTATTATCATGATGGGAATTATGTTTATAAAATGATTTTGCTGTCAGTGTCTAAACATTACATAAAAAGAGTTGAAGATGTTTATTGGTGAAAGAAAATTAATTGTGAGAGTAAAACCTATTATATAGTGTAAAAATAATTCTACTCGACTCTTTTTCAACTATTTAGATCTACAACTAGATCTGTTTATATTTTGATTAATAAAATATTAGTGATGTAGAGTTGTAATATTTTTAACAACTCTGTTAAGTGATGTAGAGTTGGGCTGGCTCATACCTGTTGTATATAGTAAATATTACAATAAATTGTTTATATTTGCAAAACATTGTTTTCTTTAGTTTGTCATTTTCCTGTCCTTGCTGTGGTATGTGTATCTTAATACAGTAGAACAAGTCTGTAGTCAAGTCAATATTTGGATTTGATGTGGGTTCTATGTTAGGGCATTCCTCTTCTGCTTTTCAAAATTATTTCATACCTATCATTTGTACAGATCATCATACCTTTCAACTTTTCAGTAGGCCCCAAATGCTATTTTTCAGAAATTAATTTTTATTTTAAAATATTAGTCTTCGATCAATATTTACAGAGAAACTGGGAAGTTAAAATCTGTTTTATAATGTGCATGTAATTTGTAGTTCAATGTATATTTCTTTTTAATAAATTAAAATTGAATTGCATTAAATTTCTGGAATGTTAAAGTAAAACAAATAAATTAAACAAATTTCTATAACAAGTTTATTTTGATAAGACCCGATAAAATAAAAATATTATTTATCAAATAGATATTTTACATATTGTAAATACACATAAAAAGCTCTTATATACTTTTTATTTCTGTCAACAACATAGTGTGTAAGTTGTTTTACATATTTGATTAAACCAGTACATAATATGGTAGGTAAACAAAGATCTAAATTGGAAACGGACAGATATCAAGTGAATGCTGAATGTAAGTGTGGCCAAACATCTTTTGGTGTAACTTAAAATATATTTATCTTTCAAGAAGAGTTTCTTGGTCAATGTGATGATACTGTAATCTGCTTTGGTAATTTATAGAAAAAAAAAACACTAATGACAATTAAATCAACTAAAAATTTCTCACTATTTGTACCTACATAAAATAAATAATAGGCAAATGATGCAGATTTATTATAACAAAGTATTTAAAAATTAAAATACCAGTACACCTTTCAGAGGCGCTATCTAATTGAGTGGTAAATATTTTTGGCAACATTTATCTATTATTTTTAATTGTAAGAATTCATTAGAACACTCATTAGAGCTTTTTTTATCATTCCAAGCTTTAGAGGAGTATGGTGCAAACCAAATACACAATGTGGACTTGACAGAATTCAAAGAGATACTATCTGCAGAAGACTTTTCTCATTATAAAACATTACATTTTGTTTGTGCTGCACAAACTTTGTGTGGATAAGCTTTTATTAACCATGAAGTCACATTAGTACCTGGGGCCATATCATCCATGCCAAAAGATTCTTCTCACTATGGAGGGTAGACCGGAAGAGTATGTCATGTATGAGGTTAAGAGTGAAGTGCACTGAATTAATTCATTTAATTTGCTTTCATTTTAATATTTATTTGGTGTGTTATATTTTAACACTATGTCACTACTTTGTAGATGGTAGAGTCACCTAAATGCGAACTTTTTGTGAACTTTCCCAAACACAGACGGTACTCTGACTCCTTATTCTACTCCGCACACTACTTACACTGCTTGCTAAATTGACTGAATTAAACTGAGATTGTCTATCACTTCTTAAATAATCACATACTTACCTATTTAAAAAAAAACCCAGAAGTCATTAGATTGTGAATTTTGACACTGCACAGTGGATCGTTAAGTTTTTTGCTGGAGAAAGCTTTTGTTTACTATTAGGTACCTCGCTCAAATATGTAGCAAGAATTTAGTGGAAAAATCAATGAGTTATAATTTCTTTATGAAAAAATTTGTTTGGAGCTGGTATGAAAAATCTGTACGTAGATACGATATTTTTAAAACCGCAATGAAAACTGTAATAATTTGTTTTTATTTTTCTTATTTTTAACGGTTTACGTTTACGGTTAGTGCTAAAATAATCAGCAGAAAGTTTAGGTACGTACACTCTTTTGTTTTTAGGGTTCCGTAACTAAAATGGCAAAAACGGCACCCTTATAGTTTCGTCATGTTGTTTTATTATTAGAATTAGTTAAATCATAACATATGAAGATCGTAAACCATGTGCTATACCTATCTAGCAGATATTTTTTATCTTTTGTCTGAATAAGTGACGAATATTAGTGCAGCAACATCAGTAATTCCGCATAAGAATAACTCATTTCATTGTTATATAAACGTCTACGCACACGTCACGTCAACGCACTGCAACGTCAACGCACTGCACTAAGGAGGTATTATTTGCCTAATGAACCTGTATAATATAGGAAGTGCAACAGCTCAAAAGAAATCACGCATGGACTATTATCATTTTCTGGTTGTTATGTGTTTAATTAGTTAGGTACGTTTAGCGTTATTATGTTAAAACCCCCTAATTAGGATAGTTAAGAAGGAATAAAATTACTAAATAATTAATAGTTTTAATGGTCAAAGAATGCTAAGTAATGAGTCACATCTGCTTAGTGTATCTCAAATTTCAGTTTCGTTTTATTCAAAAATAATATAACACTAAACAAAGCCCTATAAGCGTCTGTTAATTGTTTAACAGAAAGCGTTAAAAATAAGCGAAAATACAAATATTTCTTCATAAATAATTAGTAATTTAACCATCTGTAAGGATTTTACGGTTTCGTTAGTTTTATGTAAAATTTAGATTCCTATGCCCATTCCAGCTGATTTTCGACCCATGGTGCACCGTTCTGTTGGCACGAATATTCTGTATACATATGTACTTTTAATAGCCCTCAAGTGAATAAAATATTCTGATAGGGGAAGGTGGGGCAGCCTCATACAGTTTTTATATTTCGTGTTATAGAATTTACTCTGGTATCTGTATCTGTATCGATTCATCAAAAACTAGTAGTTTAACTATCTGACTTTATTTCAAGAACATGTAATTGGTGTAAATACACATGTGCGACTTTTTATGAAAGTTTTAAAAAAATAATTAAAATGTATGAATGTACCCCACACGCGGGGCACTCTCATACATGCTAAGGGGCAGATTCATACATGTAAAAAAATACACAAGTTTAGCATGAAAAGTTTAATTATTCATCAAAATAAAAGTATCAAACCACAACGTTCTCGAAAACAAAAGCAATTAGTCTATATGAGCAACTAATACTAAGTAATAACCAAATAATACTAAGTAAAAAAGAGAATAACATAAATGTAGGTAGTTTTTCTTTTTATGACACTGAAGGAAGTTAGTTAACCTAATAGTCTTTCTTGATTTCTTTGATTATAAATATTAAGTGTTTTTCCTGGATTGGAAACGTGCCATGCGTCATTGAAAGCTGTTTTTAATTTCGACTTTAATGGTCCAAATACTCCAACATCTAATGCTTGAATGCGGTGAGTCGTGTGAGGTGGAAAGGAAAGGCACACAATCCCATTGTCACGGCAGTAGTCGATTGCATCAATAGAAATGTGACTTTCATGGTTGTCATATAAAAGGAATATTGGATTTTCTTTCGAACATAAGGTGTGTCTCTGAATGTGCTTTAGAACATCAACAAAAATGCTCGAGTTTATCCAACCACTTCTCGTGGCTACACCTAAAGAGCCTTCTGGAGCATCTTCTATGAAGTAGTCCTTAAAATGTACTCGAGGGAAGATGAATAAGGGCGGTATGGTGTTTCCACTTGCTGAAATAATACCACCAAATGTGACCAGTTCTCCTCTTTCGGCAGACACTATTTGACCAACCTGTTTTTGGCTCTTGTCATCAAAAATTTTGGGTGTGCGGCCTTTAAATTGTGTTTGCGGTATATATTCTCTAGGATCTGGAAGAAATAAAAATGTGGGACACATTCATACAGTATGAATGTACCCCGCTTACTGCTGTATGAACCAACCCCATCACAAGAAAATGAAATAAAAATATTCCTAAAAAAAAATCAACTGTAAATGTCATTATTCACGTATCAATTTACAAACTTGATCCTATTACCTTTTGAATAAAATAGTACTGAAAAATATAGAAAAAAGCTTTTATTAAGAAAAAGATGTTTAAAGTGAGGTTTTAAAATTACTTACACGTGGCCGAATCGCGTTCCATGTCACCTCATCGCGAATTTCCCACTGACTGTCGTCAAACTCCGTGAGCCTATACACACATAAGTAAGCTACGCGTACACGGATAAGTCGTTCCGTTGATGTGCGCCTAACAACAGATGTATCCAGTGTATGACGGTGCCCCTTGTATGAATCTGCCCCACTTCCCCCTAACTGGTAGGTCTAACTAGACAACATCATATTACAGTGCTTTGGGTTAATGCATCAGCCGAGACCTAAGGTAGGTGTGAGGAGGTTAAAGCCCAGCGTACGTTCATGGTGAAAATTAATTTAGGAACGCCAAAAGGGCTTGTGCAATGGATGTCTTCCAGTAA